TAAAATACACTCGAATTTCCTAGTCATTAGAAAAATTGCTTTCAGGGCTGAACAAACCCAGGGCCTGCTCGAGGCAGGCTGGGGCAGGTTCAGGCAGAGCAGCCCTGACAAGCCTGGTCCTGAGCCCTCCAGAGTCAGCAGAAAGCCCGTGGGCTGTTCCTGGCAGTGACAATTAACCTCTGTTTGCTGGGCTAGGAGGCTACATTAGCCCTAGAGGTGTTTTCCTCTCACTGCAACCATTGCAGATAAATATTTTACCACATGCAGCAGCTACCTAAGCTGAAAATGCAGCTTAACTGGGGGGTTTGGTCCCCCACTGCAATCCAGGATCAGACAGAAAGGCAAAAGTGATGTAAGAATCTGGATGATGGGGCCATTTAAAGGCCATTTCAACTGGCTCCAGGGACTGGGGGGTTGAGGTAGTCAAAAACCAGTACCCAGCAGTAATTTGGATTGGCTGACAAACCACAAGACTTGGGAGAAGTAACACAAAGACCGCAGATTTTCTTAAAACTGCAATTTTCTTTCACTTTTTCCAACTTTTAGCCTTATCTGCAGAAGCAAAATTTGGTATGGCAAAGTGGTGCTTTGCAGTTGATGTCCTTGTCTTTGCAATGGATGTAAGGTATGTCTTTGATAACAGACTTTAAATTATTCTTTGCAGTTGTTCAGCCAAAATATTGAAGTGCCTGTGTCCACCCTTGCATGGTGTTGACGTTAATGAAAAAGGGGGGGAGTAATTTCATGTGCCTGCTCCTCTGGTGTCTCTTCAACATGAAAACCCCTGTGAAACTGCAGTGCTTCATCCTGCAGTGGAGATGCAACCATCTCCCTTTTCTTGCCCTAACTAACTGCTGGGATCAGCAAGCTGCTACCTGAGCAGACCAGCAGCCTTCAGAAATGGCCATGGAAAAAGACTGGACTCTAGTTTGGAAGCACTAGGAATGCAATAGTCACTGTCACAATCCCTGTGTGGATGGTCCAAGCCAAGATAGAACATTGTACTGATAAATAGCACCAAATAACTCAGGGCAAGTAACCCTACAGAATGATTAACAGGAAAAGGACACTTATGTGACATAACAAAACTCCATATCATTCAATCTCCACACTGAAGGCCACCCCTACCTTGCAGATGTGCCTTGCAAAGGAGGCTTTTTTCCTGAGGTACCTCAAGAAACTAAAACCTCTGCATAATTTTTGGTTTGGGGGTTTTTGTATATCTTTGGGCAAGACTGTCAAAATTGCTGGTTTACATAAATAATGACATTTTAAATATTATTCTCCTGGATCTTCATCAAGGACACTGAAGAAAGACATTTTTTCCCAACTGCTTAATAAGTTGAAGGCACAGTGTTTTTATTCTGACAGGGAGCAGACCTGCAGGGCTGGCTCCTCACACGGCCCCAGCCAAAGTCCCTTCTGAGTGCAGGCCGAGGCAAGTTGGGTGCACAAACTGTTGAGGGCACAGGTAGAGAGCTGTCCAGGTAAAGTCATGAACTGGAACACTTTCAGTGAAAACCAGAACAGACTCCATCAGTGAATCCCTGACTTTGCACACTTGCTGTAGCTCTGGGCACGCAGCTCAGCTGTGAAGTCATTCCACACCTATGTCCTTTTGTCTTGGGGTTCAAACCAGGAACTCAACCAGACTTAGAGAACTAGGAGAACATGCAAGCTGCCACAGAAATCCAGGCCTGGAGGAGATCATCTGCACTGAGCCCAGTTCAGCTACGCCAATAGCACCAGTGGCAGGTGGTGGTCTAACCTGTTCTTGAACATGTAAATGAAAGCCATTCTCTAATCTCCTGAGGGATCAAAAGGTACCACTGTGAAAATCTGTTCTGACTTAACCCCAGCCCTCATGCACTGCACAGCCCAAAATCCTTCCCCAGCCACAGAGCTGCCTTGGGAAGTTGTACCAGACCTTCTAGGAAGATCCCTAATCTGATGTGCAGTGAGTGCAGCAGGTTATGCACCACAGGCAGAGGTAAGCAGATCATTATCTGCACTGTAACAATTGCACTGCATGCCCCACAGAGTGGAGGGGGAGGGATGTGATAGCACAGGGAGAGCAGGCCAGGCTGGTGGGAAGTGTGAGGGTCCTGGTCAGTGTAGCACACAGGAGGTGTGGCTGCATGACAAGGTTGAGGCACAGAAAATAACTGTACTGAGTAAAAAGGGCTATTTTTTAAAATAATGAGAATAAAAATAGACATCTGCAGTCTTTTCAGTTCAGCTGGCTTTGTTGCATAGCTGTCTTCCCACCCCCCTTTCAAGAGTGTTCTCACAGAACAAAGGCACTCTCAGAAACCTGGGGCTTGGCACAACTATTTGAAGAAAGTGAGCAAGTGAGGCAAGGCTGGGATGGCCAGAGATGGGCAGGCAGTTGGGTGCTCTGCCAAAAAGGAGGCAGGGGATCCAGAGGATTTCCCTCCCTGCCCTGCCCTGCCCTGCCATCCCCACAACTGCCTATTGTGCCTGCCTTGCCTGCCCTGCCCTGCCTGCCTGGCCTGCCCTGCCTGTCTGCATCCCACTGCAAGTTGTGACAGAATGGACTTGCTCCTCCAAAGTACTCACTTCTGTCAAATCAGCTTTTTTTCCCACTGGCATGAAACTCTTCCAGTGACAGCTTGTGACCCATTCCAACAGCAATCCTCACAAATCTTGTGAGAGCTTAGTTCTGATTGTGTTGGTTCCTTTTCAGAACAGCACTGCAATTTCAGTGTGTCAGTGCAGTCCTTAATGGAAATTTGGGCTATCCTATGATTATTTCCTCAGGAGTAAGATTGCTTTTGCAGCTACTCCTCAGAAGGCTCTGTGCTGATGCAGAAACACTCTTATGATTCTGATGGAGTATAAATAATTGTCATTTTTAATATCACTGGAAGACTGGCTATATGCAATTTCGAGTCTGGCAGATTTAGGCAGTTTCTGCTTTACTCCTCACCCCCTCACTTTCTCTTCCCCCATTTTAATTCCCTTTCGAGCAATGTTCTGAATATGAACAAAAAACTTTCAAGAAGGATAAGGATGAGAGCAACTCCCACAGTATCAAACATGCAGGGGATTTAGGGTGTGACAGGGCAGGTCAGCAGCAGGAGAGGAGCTGTGCCTTCTCTCCCAGCACTGTCAGGCTCCCCACACCAGCAGCAGCATCTGCAGCTCAGTGCACTCTGCAGTGGACGGGCTGGGGCTGAGCCACGCCAGGCTCAGTAATGCCACTTACACAAGGACGTTTGCAGCATAAAATAAAAGTAATATATGTGAAATTAGAGGATAAAGTGAAGGGAACTGTCTGCCAACACCAAATAAGATGGGACCTTTGTGCAGGGAGGTGCATTTGTTTTAAAAAGCACACAGTGGGGATTGTTTTTACCTTCTCTACCTACGAGTCCAAGAGCACTGTGGTGTTATGGAGGTGCTTGTTGATGCTCTTCCTGGGCTGTTGAACAGCATTAAGCACATGAGCTTCTTTCTTCAGTCTAGGCAGGTGCCAGGGGATTGCTTCCCCCCTCACTGTTCAATCAGACCTTCCTGCTGGCACCAGTGGGGCATCTCACCTAAGTTGTGAAATCAAGACTGTGCCCCAAAGCCTGTTCTTTCATTGAATGCCCACCCTCTGATTTCACCAAAAAATCCCAGGGGCTAAAATGCAGTGCAATGTGCTTTCTATCAATGAGGGAAGACCTTGACCCTGCAGCTGACACTGGGTGCTGCATGTATCATCCTGTGTCTCAAAATGTGACCATTTTTCTGGAGCCTTCTAGTCTTTGGTATCTTTATGTCAGTGATATTAGAACCCAGACTCTCGCCCTTCCTTAGATCTCTCAGCTGATGGGCTGTGCAGTCCCAATCTAGGGATCTCCATTAAGCTACCTTTCCATCCGAACTGTCGCTCCTGTAGGAGGTATTTCCTACACACACCTGTAGGAGGTATTTGCACTGTGAAGGCCGAGTCCACTGCAGTCAGTGCTCGCACCAACACCCCAGCACGGCCCTCAGGGGTGCCATGGGCCACTAAGCAAACATGAGCAGTCACTCCAGAGAGACAGCAGTGATGGATTTGGGCAGCTCACGGGGATGACCGTGTTATTTCCACGGTCTGGAGAAGCTCAGGTGGGCAAGCCAGGAGTGCCCGGGAAGCTCGGAGGGCAGCTGGACAGCCCAGGAGTGCCCGGGAAGCTCGGAGGGCGGCTGGACAGCCCAGGAGTGCCCGGGAAGCTCGGAGGGCGGCTGGACAGCCCAGGAGTGCCCGGGAAGCTCGGAGGGCGGCTGGACAGCCCAGGAGTGCCCGGGAAGCTCGGAGGGTGGCTGGACAGCCCAGGAGTGCCCGGGAAGTTCAGAGGGTGGCTGGACAGCCCAGGAGTGCCCGGGAAGTTCAGAGGGTGGCTGGACAGCCCAGGAGTGCCCGGGAAGATCAGAGGGTGGCTGGACAGCCCAGGAGTGCCCGGGAAGTTCAGAGGGCGGCTGGACAGCCCAGGAGTGCCCGGGAAGCTCGGAGGGCGGCTGGACAGCAGTCTGCAGGATGGCAGGAGGGTGCCTGGGCATCACCACGCACAACCCCCGTGCCAAGGGCGGCCGTGGGAGAGCTCTGAGGCAGCAGCTGATTCACAGAGGGGCTGGAATGGACCTTAAAGATCACCCAGTCCCCAAACCTCCAGGACTACACCAGGCCGCTCAAGGCCTTACCCAGCCCGGCCTCGGTCACTCCAGGCCGCAGCATCCCCCGTGCCAGGGCCTCACCCCGCTCTCGAGCCGGATTTTCACCGCTGCCCCGCCACAAACCCCGCAAGGCCCCGCTATGTCCCAGATCCCTGTGGGAATCTGTGGGCTCGCTGCGCTCCGGGATCCGCCCAAGGCCCGCCGTGAGGGAAAGGCCCAGGCCGCGGCCCGCGCCGAGCCGGGGCTGCCCATCCCGCTGGCTCCTCCCTGGGGGAAGGAGGGGAAGCCGGAGAAGCAGGAGGAGGAGGAGGAGGAGGGCGCCGGGGCCGCCCCCGCCGTGTGACGGGAGCGCAGCCCCCGAGCGGGCGCCGGGCCTGAGGCGGCGGGGTCGGCACCAGCTGCGGGGCCCGGCCCGGCCCGGCCCGGCCCGCCGGCGGACACCATGTTCTCCCTCAAGCCGCCCAAACCCACCTTCAAGTCGTACCTTCTGCCTCAGGTAACCGCGTTTTGCTGCCTTTCATCGTCCTACCCCGGGCAGGGCGCAAACCCCGAGCCGGGCACAGCCCCGGGCCGACCGGCCCGGGGCTGTGCCCGGCTCGGGGTTTGCGCCCTGCCCGGGGTTGTTGCCTGGCCCGTGGACCCACGGAGGGGGAATATTCTTGTCATCGGGGTGTGCACTTGACACACGCGTTATTTTTATGTTTATTTCTTCCCGAGCGCACGCAGAAGCGCTCGGAGCCGCCGCCGTGGTTGGGGTTGAGGTTGGGTTCTTAAAGGGGCTCCCCTAAAAGAGGAGCTTCCTAAGTTATTTTTTTTTAAAAAAAAAAGGAGAACTTTTCTGTGTGCGGAGTTGCGATTCTTGGGGTAAATTCTCTCTTTTTTTTTTTTTTTGTTTTGTTCTCCAGGCTGAAGACAGCGTAGCGTCAGAACCGAGGATTAAGAAACTGGAGCCGGTGCTTTTGCCAGGTTAGGCGTCAAATCGGGAATTTGACCTTTGTTGCTGTCTGTTTTTGGTGTGTTTTTTGTGCTTTTTTTTTCATCCTAGCATTGCTCCTTGAGAGCATATATAGAATATAACTTCTGGGCAGAAGAAGAAGAAGAAGGGTGGTGATATTTGTGTCTGTGGAAAGTTATCCTAACCTGCCTGAAACACAACATGCAGAGGCAATTTTGCCCGTGTGATGCTTTAGTACGTGTAGAATAATGTCCTGGTTTCATTGTGAGCATTGGAAATTAAACCACTGTAAGTTTTTCAACGTTCTTGACGCCTTTTGGAAGGCTTAATAATAATTACACTTTTGTCAGATAGTCAGACATGTACCTGTGGGCAGAGCCCAGTACTACAGCCTAGGCTGGAACCTTCCTTTATTTTAAAGGAAAATAGTCGTAGAATTTCTGGAATTTCTAGGTGGGTATGATTGACTTCTCTACTGGAAAACTTCTAATGCCATCTTTATTCATTCTTTTTTTGAATATGCAGCTGTTTGATAATTTTGGAATATTTGTTTTCAGACCTCTACAGAATGGTCTTTTTAGTGTGTGGGTGATAAAAGCAATGCTTTTATTATTATTCATCATTACATATTTATAAAAATTAATGACTTCCATATTTTAAATAAGAAATAATCTTTGGTAAATGATGGTTTGATCAATGAGGATTTCTAAAAGCCTTTTGTCAGATATCAAAGGAACATCAAGATTACTTCCACTGCAGACTCTGGCTTGTGGTTTCTAAGGGTAGTTTTGAGTTTAAAACAATGCTATACTGCATTTTTTTATTTTCATTCATATTGTGTGTTAAAAAATATGAATTTATGCACACTCTGATGTAGGAATAAACAGCTTACTCTTAAAAATGCTTTCTGTCACTGCTTTGTATGGGTCTAAGCAGTACTAATGCTAATAAAGCATATTGATTTGTTTGTGATATGGTCCAGTGAGGTCCTTAAGGGGCTGAAATGTTGTGGGAGAGGTTCAACTGAAAGAGTAAATAACAACTGACTCTTGTTGAAACAGACTAATACAGATTATTCTTGAGGCATAAATACTTTAAAATACATTGCCGAGATTGCTCGGTGTTTGAAATACAGTTATGTTTTTGTACTTGCAAAACTTCTGCTTAGCACTTGGCATCCCATTGGTTGTGTTGCAGTTGATACTCATCCAAGGCCTTTGACTCACAAGGAAGTGACTGCATGTTCCTCTCTAGACATTCCACAGCAAATGCAAGGCAGGACGAGGCTGCTTCTCTCCAACTGCAGCCCATCTTGCTTTGCTGTGGGCCCCGAGCAGTGACACAAACCCACTTTGTGCAGTAACTTCTGCTCTGGGGTTCGTTCTGTATTTGTGCAACTCCCAAGTGCACTTCAGTGGTGCTCGCTGGGCTTGCTTTTCTCAACTGCCTTGTATTTATTCCCTGTTTGCATCATTTTGCTTGTCTGCACTCTGAAATCAGGATCTGATGGCTTTTGGGACATCTGTAGTAAGTTGCCCAAAGTTGTATAGAAGCCACAATATGATTTCCACCTCCATATCACTGGAAGGTGTTACTTTGAATTATTTCATAATAGAACTCACTGCTCTCACAGCCACAGAGTGACTCTGACCAAATCCTTTAATTACTCTGCATGAGAGTGGAGGAGGGGAGTTTAGAAATGACTTATTTTAAATTACTTGCATGAAACTCTTTGTGTTTAAAGCTAAGCACTGGCCTAAACACATTTTTTTTCGTTCCTGTCATCAGATGGTGCAGTAGAAAAGTGTATAAACAAGTACACATTGTACTGTTGGATAGACTGGCTTTTGGATTTGTCATAACCCGAGTTTCTGGCCAAATTCCAATTAATTTAATTATATCAAGGCTGACTTGCACTTCCTTGCAAGTACAGTTTGAGTATGGCATTCCTAATATCCTATCCTTGACAGTTGTGTGAAAGTGCTTTTGCTCTCAAGAACAGAGGTAAGCCTGAGTGCCTAAATGTTTGTTTTGCTTCTTTAATGGGGGAATTTTTCAGGAGTTCTTTTGGAGTTAAATTACATTAGCACAAGCAGTCGCTGGCTCTAGTAATCTTCAAAACTGCAAGTGATTGTATTGAGCTTTTGATTCCTAAAATATAATCACTTTGAGGGAGTGGCCTGCTTACTAAAAACTGACATTTCAAAGTAGCTGCATACCGTGCTGTCTAACTTGTATTTCTGTGCAGTGGAGGTTCAGAGAGGGAGTTCCAGGCTAGGAAATACATCCAGTTACATAATAAGGAGGTTTTTAGGGAAAAAAAAAAAAGGAATATTTACTGGAATTAACTTTAAACCTGTGGAGTTTGTTTTTAAAGTTTCCTCTGGGCACCAGAGGAATAGATGCATCTCTTCAGAATTTGGAGCAAAAGCCTGTATTCCCATGGAAGTGTGTGTCCTGAGGAGGGTGGTATGATGTTGGGAAAAGCAACAAATATCATTTAAAGCAAGTGAAACCTTGGTTGTGAGTGGCAACATTGACAGCAGGGAAAAGCAAGTAATTTTATAGAATTTGATATGATTTCCTTCCAAAATACATGATCTAGGTTTGAGATGGAGTTATAGAGGTGTTTTCTTTGCCTTTCTGCAGTTCTGTTTTCCCAGTGTGGCTCTGTCATCTGTTTCTTCAGAGTCAGTTGAAGAGTTGGCCTCTGTAACAGTTTCGTTTTTTTCCTTTGTTTGTTTGCATAGCTGCTTTTATAGCATGTCAAAGAGGAAAATTACAGAAGGAGCAGGTAGTTCAGCAGCCAGCCCGTGTAAGTGCCTGCCTGGCTGGTAGGAAATTGGCCCGTGTGCCCTGGGGAGTGTGAAGCCGTTAGACCTGAAGGTGTGCTTTGTTCTGGGCTCAGCTCTATCCTGCTTTCCCCAGCCACGCTGTAGCGTGTTCCGGTCAGCACCCTTGGGCACCGTAACTGCAGCGCAGTGCACAGCGTGGCTGCCTGCCCTGAGTGGCCAAGCATGTGCAGAGGGTGCTGCAGGGAGGGGGAACGGACCAGTCCGGGCCCTGTACTGGGACCAGTGCCACGCTGGGGTTTGGGCAAGAGCAGGCGAAGAGATCCTCGCTGTTGCTCACACAGGATATTCTGTGGGAAATTATGTAACTAATGGAGCACCTGATTGAGTGTGAGAAAAGGATTGTTCCTCCCCAATGGTAATGTCCACTTGGATTAGTTAAATTGTTGCTCAGGAGACTAATTTGCTAGTAGAGTAAGTTGGTGGTTGTTACCTGTAAGTTTTTACAAGAAGGTTGGAAATGGTATAGTTGCTTTTGTTTTTAAAAGTTTATACAGTAAAATTATAGACGTAAAATGAATTAGAATAGTATTTTTTAACCTTAAGGCTTGCTCGTGTTCAGGCAAGTAAAAGAGATGTTGGTGGTGAGCTGCAGTTGCAAACAGATCTGTCTCTTGTGTCTGCACCCTGTTTCCCAGTCGGATGGTGGAAGTAAACTGCAGTGCCATCACTGGAGTGTGGTCACACCCGGGGGGGTGTCCTGCAGGTCACAAGTGGGGCCAGCTGGACCCTCAGCTGGCAGTGGCTGCTGGCACAGAGGGACAAGAGAGGACTGGACAGGCAGCACTCCCAGCTCCTCGTCCTGCCCTCCCAGCTCCCTGCAGCTGGGCAATGGGGACTTCCCTTCATGGGGAACCCCAGGTGAGGAGTCGGGGGCACCACAGAGACAGTGCTGCCATAGTTCATTCCTCTTGCTGGCTTTGTCTTACATCAGTTTGTCCAGTTGCTTTCTATAGGCATGTAAATGTCTATCACCCACAGCTTCATCTGGTAACCCTTTCAGCAGTTCAGTTATACACTCTTACAAACTTGTTTGTTCTGAACTTACCACCATGTAGTTTCTTTGGTAATTCCTGGTTCTTGTATGACACAGCAAACACAAGTCATATTCCTCCATTCCATGCGAGTCGTGATTTTCAGACTTAAATGTCCACTCTGTTTTGCTTCCTTCTAGCTTAGTTGTCTTAGTTGCTCCTAAAAGAGAACCTCCCCAAATTTTTAATCATTCTTTTGATTACCTATGAACATTTTCCAGTTGTGCTGAGCCCCTGCTGAGGTGGAATTGTGTGTCACGTTCAAGATTTTTGCCACTGGATATATTCAGCTTTTATCTGATAATGCCAATTGGCTTTGCCACCTGCTTTTTGGGTTTGCTTTGGTTTTTTGCATACATGTGCCCTTAGAAAGGCAGCTGACTGTAGAAATGTAGTTGTGGGAGGTTTTTAAGACTGGATCCTGGAACATTTTAATCTTTCAGAAGAGTCTGATTCTCTTGCAAGTTAGCTCCCAGCTCTTTTCCTCTTTTTTTTTTTTTTTTTTTTCCTGCCCTGCTTTCTGCAATTCCTCAGTCCATTAAGTCATGTGTTCCCGAGCAGCTGCAGCACATCTTGTGATAGGAGCAGGAATGCGGTGTTGGACAGGCTCGGTGTGCGTGAGTGCCCCAGGTATGTTCTCTGCTCACTGCTTTGGCTCCTGCCCCTGCCTTGGCATTTGGTGGTGTCCGGTGCTGACAGAGGTCCTGGGGTGCGGGGAGTGCCAGGGCTGGGGGCTGTGAGGAGCAGGGACTGGCAGAGTGAGGGTAATGCCTGGCCCCAGAGCTGTGCCCACGCTCCTGTCGTGCTGTTGGGGCTCAGTTTGCCTGAAGAGCTGAGAGGGAAGCCGGGGTTGTGCAGTTGTAGCAGCAGTTCCGCTGTTGCTGTCGGTGCCCGTTCCCTCGGACAGCTCTGGAATGAGGTGTTACTCAGGCAGTGTTGCTGCTGTGCAGGACCTGCCCCTGTTGCCGGTGGGCAGTGCCAGCCTGGCAGAGCTGGTGGCACCCGGACAGACCTCGGGAGAAGGCAGGTTCTGGTTGTTGCCAGAGCACCCCAGTGCTGTGCTGTGCTCCCAGGGCTCTCCCTGGGCAGCTAAGACATCCCACTGCAGGGCTGGAGCTTGGAATG